CTGTGTTATGTCTGCCTCATACAGCCCCGATGCAGCCCCCAGATCCCAGACAGTCAGAGTTGGGGAGACCACATCAGCGCTGAATAAATATGCCTGCCTTTCACTTGGCTTTCTTTACTGAAGCAACTGCAGGGGAAAGCCCCTCCGACCCCAGCATCTAGGGGCTCCCCTACAATGTCTGTGCCCTGGCTGAGTTTGGGGTGACTACCTGTGCACTGCAGGTGTCACTGTGCTGCTGGAAGTCCAAGCCTCCTGGCCCTGTCCTGTGACGGTGGCCCAGCCCATGGAGGCTGAGACCACGGCTGAGGGAGCCCAGGAAGGCCTGCTCCCTCCCAGCAGGTCTGTCCTGGCTTCGGCTCTTTGTGGAACTTTTGTGGAAGGTCACAGCCGGTGACTCATTAGCTGTAGGGGAACCTCTGTATTAGAAGCACAAATCCGGCTCTTCTCCCAGGAGACGATTTGAAAAGCGGCACTCACAGCCAACTTCAAAGTCCGTTCCAGCCCATCTTTCCTGTTCCATTTACAGCCCGATGTTGGCCAGGACTGAACTGGCTAATTCAGAGCCACAGCTCCGATTCCCGAAACAAGTTTCCACCGAGGTCTCCTCGAATTCCTCAGCTTCAAACACTCCATAAAGCTTTGGGAACCGAAATATTTTATTTTCTCTTTTGTGAAGTGGGTCATTTTGAGTGTGAAGTACTATGTTTTCCCCTTTTTCCTTTGCCGCAGAAGTCCTGTGGTTGAAGAGTTACGGGCGTAGAATCTGTTCATGTGACTGTGCCATTATTCAAGTGGAAGAGTGACTTCAGGGAGAAAGGACATAGAACGCTGACCATTACTGACATGTTGGGCTTTTAGTTGGTCCAAGTTCAGGGATCTGGCTGACGACAGAAAATAAACTCAACCAGATGCTTAATTGTGCTGATAAGTCGTCAGCTCCACCTGAGGGTCTTGCCTTTTGCTCCTGGCTCATCCGGCACACAGGTGTCCCCTTGTCACTGATCTGCCTGTTGTCAGTGACATAGAACCAACCCAGAGTGGCCCCATCTCCTTAGTCCTGACTATGGAATTCCCTGCAGTTCCATTCGCCTTGGAAAATGTCAGTGTTTACTGGGAAAGCCGAGAAAGCCATCCAGATTATGTGTAGAACAGTGTCACTCGGTTGAAAGTCTCTTTCTGCCAGACCCCAGCCCAGTTTTACTCTGTGTGCTCCTGGAGTGACCTGTCATCTCCCCACTCCTGACGTTCCTGGAGCTTTCGTGGTGTAAGACTTTACAAGGCGGCTTCTCCACAGTGTCCCCGAAGACCGTCTCTGTGTTGTCCAGCTCTTGGCCACTCACCCTCTTCACCGCACGTGGGGATTCAGGCCTGAGAAAAGCCTGTGCTTTCCTATTTGGGCCTCTACTTTTTAAAGATGTTCTCTGAGCTGCCCCTTTGACCAGAGACCTCACTGCAGGAGGAGGGCCTTCCCTCCTGAGCCCGAATCAGCCGGCCTGTTGCCTCCTGCAGTCCTGGGGAGCCGGGAGGAGCCAGGGCAGGGCCTGGTTAATTCCTCTGTAGCTGCTCTCCTCGCTGGGGCACATGTGATCATTCATTCACGTTGACGTGCAAGGCCCAAGAGCGAGTGCTGGCGATGGTAGAGCCACCTTATTGAAATAGCATGTTAGCATTTAAACAATATTAATACTATTTGACTCATTAAATATACAAAGGCCAGTTAAAGTGCTTCCATGTGTGTGCTGTTAGTTCTGGCGGGCGACTCCTCAGATGGCTTTATGTGGTTTCAGACAACATTTTAGCACATTCTTAAAATACCCACAAAAGCCTTTATGTAAAAACTCGTAAATGTGAGCCACATAAAAATTATTTTTTTTCCTGTTTCATGTCATGATGATCAAAGTACGGCAGGTAAAAATAAATTCTCAAAAACTTGTTGAGGTCCCTCTTTAATTAATGCTTCACGTGCAGAGCAGAGCCATAACATGTAACGGGGGGCTGACTGTGTGCCCCGCAGTCGCCTCACCACTGGCTGCACAGCGGTCCTGACAGCACTTGTCGGAGAGGCAGGTTTATCTGGGCGACTCTGAACCGGCCCTTCCTTCCCCCAGCCCCTGCTCTCGCTGTCCTGGAACCTCAGGTTGAGACTTGCCGCTCGCAGCCACTCACAGCCCGGAGATCCCTTTTGGTGGGTGGAATGCAAGTCCGTTCCTGAATTGTTGTGGTGTCGGGGCCATAACTGCGGGTTTCGGCACGTCCTCCCCGACGGGGAACGCCCGATGGGAGAGGGGCAGGCACACTGAGCTCCAAGCGTCATTTCTGTATTAAAAGTCAAATGGACTGTAAATCAGGATTCTACCCAATGGAATACGATCCCAGCTCTTAAAAACAATTAAGGAGATCATGTGGCTCCATGGAGAAGCACCGAGGGTTCCACGCCAAGTGAGGAGAACCCAGCTCAGTGCAGTCCCACTGCCGGGCTTTTATGGTTACATAAAAATTACGCATCTGGACAAAGACTGGAAGGGAATTGGGGAAAATCAGATTTATGGGATAAGTTGATATATGGTACTGTGGGCTAATTTTTAAATTTCCTTTTTTTATAATGTCGCAATAAATTTTTTTACTTTGGGGAAACAGTAAGCCACATGGAGGTCAGAGTTGAGGTTGCATTTTTGCCTCCTTTGTGTCCAGCACTTTGAAATGTTGGGCCTGGTCAGCGTGGAGCTGAGCAAGCCAAGAAGAAGCTGCCCAGCGTGGGAGCTGGGCCATGGGAGGGACGCTGGACTGGAAACAGCCAGTTCCACCTTATAAAACATTCACACCGCTGTTTTATTTTTCTAGAAGAAAACAAATCTGAGGGATGAGAGCGAGTGGGGTCAACTGTAGGCCACCTGGCGCATTTGGACTGGTCACCAGGTGGTGTCGCCAGGGCTATCGCCGCCACGATCGCCCCTGGTTCCCTCAGGCCTGCCTGCCCCGCTCTCCCCGGCCTCCCAGCACTCAGGGCGGGAGCCTTGGACAAGAACAACACCAGTCTCTGGTGCAGAGGATGGGGCTGTGAGCTGTGAGGGGGCGGAAGGATGGAAATGCCCACTGGGCTTCGAGCCTTCATGCCAGGATGGCCAACGGAAAGAAGGAATTATCGGCCTGTCATTTTTGCCAGCACAGGAAGAGCCACAGTTTTTCAAGTTGTTGGTTTTTCCTTTTGATGTGGGGCTGCTCTCCCTACCAGCAGACTAAAAGGGAAAACGGGGTGGGAGAACCCATCCATCCGTCACCAATAGGACGGCGCTCACAGGTCTGTGCTGGGCTGCTCCTCTCCTTCAGTGGAGTTGGAGTGCCTCCTAGTGAACCCGGAGCCAAGGGAGCCACCAAAATCCAGGAGAACCAGCCAGAAAGGCTCCCGGAGGCCCTGCTGCAAGCTCACCTGAGCACGTGGGCTCACTAAGACGTGACAGAGACATCTCCACAAGTCCCTGTGCGTGCAGCTCTCTGCAGGGCGGGTCCTAGACCTTTTCTGCTTCCCCTCCCTCCGTCCTAGGGAGGGAGGGTTGTGTGTGAGTGTTTGGTTTGAAAAGAGAATTGGAACAAGAGAATCAACCTTCCTGAGTGAGGTCCCTGAGGTTACTTGGGATGGTACTGAGCTCTGGGCCCCCATAGGTGTGTCTGTCTGTCTGTTCCCCCCATAGTACTACATTTTTCCTTTTCTGGAGCCACGCCCCTTCCTGCCCTCCATTGTTTGACTGACATGTAGCCTGGGGCTGGCGTCTCCGGAGCCCTGGCAGGCCTGCCCTCACCTGCCTCCGTGCGGTGCTGGGAGTGGCAGAGTTGTGAATGTCATTTGACAGCTTAATCACAGTGGATGGTGGGATGGAGCAGTGAGGACAGGATGTGGTGGTGGCGGCAGCAGCGGGCGGGGCCCAGTCTGCCTGAGGAATCCTGGCGGGGAGGACCCTTGGGCGCAGTCAGAGGAAGAGGTTACACTGAGCCACCGCCCCTACAGCTCAGGCTGGAGGCTGTCTTCTGTGAGGTGGGGCTACTTCCTTGGTCTCAGTGTTCCCGATCACACTCTGCTGTATGTCATGTACTGACCTCTGCACAAAAGTACAAAGAATTTGCCTATTTCTTCACCCTCATCCTCTAAGTATTAACATTCACAGACGTGTTTACTCTTAGTACTTGTTTTTGTTATTAAAATTAATAGTAATTGTTTTTATGTCTCAGCAGTCCTAAGGCCCAGTCCATACCGTTGGTGCCTGGTAACCCTAATAAGTAGTTTTTGGGATGTGGGCATGAACGGAGCTGGTAACTGGAGGGGTTAGGGCTGGGACCCACGCCTGTCTAATCCGGGCCCGCGCTCACTGCAGCCACACTGCCTGCTCGCTGTGCACATCTGAGATCTGCTCACGTCTGAGGTTGCAGTCCCAGGATGTGCCTGCCACACTATTGAAAGGGGGTTAACGCGTCAGAGAGGCCACAGACTTTCTTGTAAAGAACGTGCTAGCCACCAGCTGAGACTCAGCAGAATCTGGGGTGCTGCACATCAGCAGTGATCCATCCACCTGTGCTTTCTGAACTCCTCAGTCTGTACTCGCAGCAGCCTGGCTCTGTCCCGGCGCTGACTGCATCTAGCCTGGTTTCCTTTTCTCCACTGGCCTTTTCTTTCCCTCGTGCATTTGATCTTAATTAGGAAGTTTTCCATATTGGCTCAGGCCTGAGGAGGGAGCTCCATCCCATGCTTACCCCTTCAGTCCTGGTTAGCGAGCTGCAGCAAGTTGTTCTTTCTGTGACCCCTAAAGGATACTTCAATCCCATCCCCGACCAGCGGTTGTTCAAGACATGTACACAAATCAACCCTAGAACCATTGCAGCGAGGGTCCTTAATTCCAGATAGACACAGTGAACCTTTCTGGATGGCACCCCTGGGACTTGGGCTGGTGGCTGTAATTTGTCATTTGACAAGCTGGCATCTAATGGGCACATGGGCCTGTTTCCTGCAGGTATTTTGAAGGCGGCGTCTCATCTGTCTACCTCTGGGATCTGGATCATGGCTTTGCTGGAGTGATCCTCATAAAGAAGGCTGGAGACGGATCAAAGAAGATCAAAGGCTGCTGGGATTCCATCCACGTGGTGGAAGTGCAGGTACAGCTCCCCGGCAGCTGGCGGCCCAGGGCCTTGCAGACAGATGCCACGCCCAGCAGCGCAGCCCGTACTCTAGCAGATGCTTCTTGAATAGGGGAACTGTAATACCTAAACCTGCTAATTCCTAAAAGTGCCTGAAGCCATTTGGATAAAGATAAGTCAAGATTGCAGTAGTCATTGATGGTAAAGATCCCAGAAGAACTGAATATACCCAGTGCAGATTCAGTCTTTTAAAAGCCACTTGGGATTGGGAAAGATAGCGTGGTGGCAATGTCTTAGGAAGGGGCATGTTAGGATGACCACAGACTCCTCAGCCAGGGTTGTGTGCAAGGTTCTGATCTCTGTCTTGTCCCCCAGGAGAAGTCCAGCGGCCGCACCGCCCATTACAAGCTGACCTCTACGGTGATGCTGTGGCTGCAAACCAACAAATCTGGCTCTGGCACCATGAACCTTGGAGGCAGCCTTACCAGACAGGTACAGTTGCCCTGGCCACAGGTGCCAACACAGAGCTGACTGTACATGAGGATGGGTGAGAAGTTGTCCCCACAGAGGTCCTAGGCCAGCCCCTGCCTGATACGATCTCCCTGTACGCCTTCAGTGATTCCGTCACAGGAGGTGTTCTCTTCGGGTCCGGGTGTTTCCATTCAAGTGTTCCTGTGATGTTTAGGACACACCTACCTGCCGGTAACATTTTAGAATGGGTTCATTTCTTAGTTGTGATTTAGGTCATGTATTAGACTCTTGGTGGCAAGTGACAGAAGGAAAACTCTGACTTAAGCAAAAAATGGAAACGAGTCAACTCACATAACTGAGCATTCAGGTTTCATTTCAGCACTGCTGGGTCTAGGACACAAATGATGTTGCCAAGACTATATCCCTGCATGTGGTGGCTCGGCAGAATAGGTCTGCATACCCCAGATGTGTCTCTCTGGCCCGGTCATGATTGCTGGTCCATCCAGAATCATTTCCAGAATCATGGCCAATCTTGGGTTGCGTGAGTATCCTTGGTATTATAGATGGGAAAGGAGTGTTGATTTCCTAGAATACATGGAGGAGGGCATGGATGTGGGCAGGCAGCAGACATCGGACACTGGTAGGAATGTGCTTTCTGCAGAGAGAACCAAGGGACACTATTGTGTAGATGGCATAGGCAGTCTGGGAATTACAGCATAGAGTCGACCCAGATAGTTGGCAATAGGCTGCTGGGGACAGTAATCAGGGTCCCCCAAAAGGAGAGAAATGGCTGAAATAAAAGCCTAAAAGGATCCAAAGAGCGAGTGCCTGCTGTAAGCTCTGAGTGGGTTTACTGGACTCCCCATTGGTAGTGATCACACACACACAATCTTATAAAAGAGTAATATACAAATTGACTGTACCTCTGCTACACCCTCAAGCTACACCCACCAGCCAATCAGGAGCAAGTATGCAAATTAACCCAACCAAGATTGCTGCAGCCACAGAGCAAGCAGAAGGCTTGGCTGTCCCCTGCAATGGAGGAAGCCAAGCTTCCTGCACATCCTGGCCAGCCCTGGCCTCCACTCAAGGCTACAAAGTTTCAATTATAGAAGATAAATAAATCCCAGATACCAGGGACTCTATTTGGGTCACCGAGGGGGGGTGGGGGGGGGGACTTTGGCCTGCCTGAAAACCACCATAGACCCCCTCGCCCAGGCCACCCCACGCTTTAAGGGAACCCCCACCCTGATTCTGGACACCCTTCAGGGCAAACCAGCTGATCCCCACCTTGTACAAGGCCTCTATCCTATCTAATAAAAGAGTGATATGCAAATTGACCATCACTCCAACACACAAGATGGCTGTTCCCATGTGGTCAAAGATGGCTGTCCCCATATGGACACAAATGGTCACCACAAGATGGCCAGCAAGGGAGGGCAGTTGGAAGGGATCAGGCCAGCAGGAGAAGGCAGTTGGAGTGATCAGGCCTGCAAGGGAGCACAGTTAGGGGTGACCACGACAGCAGAGGAGGGAAGTTGGGAGTGACTGGGCCTGCAGGGAAGGACACTTGCAGGGGACCTAGGCCTGCAAGGAGAGCAGTTTTGGGGTAGGGGTGGGGGGGAACCAGGCCTGCAGGGGAGTGGTTAGGGGGTGATCAGGCTGGCAGCAGAAGTTGTTAGGGGCAGTCAGGCAGGCAGGTGAGCAGTTGGAAGCCAGCAGTTCTGGATTGTGAGAGGGATAATTGACTGCCTGTTTAGGCCTGGTCCTATCAGGATTGGGCCTAAACAGGCAATCAGATATCCCTTGAGGGGTCCCAGATTGGAGAGGGTGCAGATTGGGCTGAGAGACACACACCTCTGCATGAATTTTGTGCACCGGGCCTCTAGTATATATATAAATTTCTTTCAATAAGATAATTATACTTTAATAGCCATCGATAGAAAACATACATACCAGAAAGGATACTTTTAGTAACTCTTTAAGTGAATTTGTATTTTAGTCTCAAAAGCATCTTCATGTGTTTGAAAAATCAAGTGCAAGGCAAATGTGTTGTCAGCCAGCCTGCCTGGGATGCTTATTGGAGCCTCCATGCAAAACCTCCGCTGCCTCTGTTGTGTCACAGGGCCTGAAGCCACAAGGGGTCTTGGGGGTCCCCTGCTCTGCCTCTGGGCAGGGTTGTCGGTGTGCCATCTCAGAACCAAGGCTGGTGCTCCCTGGAGCAGAGCCCATCCTTTTGCAGGGAAATGGGCCCCTGTCTTCCAGGAACCGTTGGCTGGGGAGGGGTGGCCGAACCCCCAGGCAGCCAGCTCTACCACAGCCTGCCTGTCCCACACCCTGCCACCTGGGCAATGGTGGAAAATGCTAAATTTGTATCCGAAGACTGTTTCCTGCATCACTTACCGCTCTGAACTGTTTATAATTCCACCCGGTTTACAGTGACCTGGACAAATATTTAATCCTCAGTCTTCCTAATAGCTTAAATCAGAGCTGTCAGCCCATGGCCAGGGCCTGGTTCCGGCTTGCCGTGAGCAGTGCCTCCTGCCAAGCCAAACACAAGCCTGATGAGTGGCTGTCCTCAGCACACCGGTCCGGGCCACGGCCTTGTTTGGATTACCTGTGCTCTTGGGCTTTAATGAGGAAATTCATGCTTCTGTCATCATCCTAACGGCTGGTCACATAACTCATCTGAGGTGCATTAAAGCTGGGGCTGGTTTCCAATGTAAGTAACTCGAAAAGGAGGGGCAGGGAAGCAGCGAGAGAGACGAGAATAAGTTAATGATGCGCAGCTTCTGAGCAAACGGGAAATGCGGGCTGCGGGTTAGCCATGTGTCCCAGATGGGCCTTGGAGAAATGGCGTGGTTGCCTTGGATGGGAGATGAAGGGGTTCCAGTGATGAGGAGGGAACACGCACAGTTATGCAAGGGCTGCCTCCTTGGTTAAGACTGTAAGCAAGGTAATTACCATTTTCATTTCACAGGTGAGGAGACTGAGGTTCAAGCTGTTAAGTGATTTTCCCATGTGGTGGTTTATCTAGTAGGAGGCAGTCAGGATTGAACCCAGTTTTGTCCGCCTAGAAAAAAAAAAATAGGCTACTTTCTACCACACTACCTTTTTTGCTCCTTTTGTGCTTGGCCTTCGGTTGATTGCTAAGTGAAGGTTTTCGCAGAAATGGGTTGAGCAGTCTGCTCAGTGTAGACAGGACACTACTTTGTGGGTGTCCGTGGCATTCTGTTGGCAGCCCCAGAAACGGACACCGAGAGTGGGGCCAGAGCTGTGGGGTGCCGTGCAGGGCTCCGAGCTCCCTGGGAGTGTGCTCAGCCCTGTGGGTGCCTCCTCCATTGGAGTCTCCGTAGGAAGTAAGTTGAGCAGATGAGACACAGTCATCACCAGGGGTAGTGAGAGGGTTTTTAAATTTTTAGGTGAGGAGTGATCTATGTTTTCCAAAGATGGTTCTGCTGGCTGACACGGGTGGTTAGCAGCAGGAGGAGGCTCTTCAGGTTGTCCAGGAGAGATGACCAGGGCCTGGATGGGGTCGGCTTCAGGGGGCCTGGAGGGGACAAACCTGTGGCCAGGAGTCAATGAAGGAAGTATGTCAGCCTCAAGGTGAGAAATAGAGGGCAAAGGCAGGGGGAGTAGAGAAAGAAGGAGGGAAGGTCGGGAGAGCTTGGAGTAGAGTGTTTGAGGCGCGGTGCTCCCAGGATGTGGCCATGGGGGTCAGATGGGGAGTTTTCCTCACGCCAATCCCTCCATTAAGCCCTCTGTGCAGTTTCCCAGGCCTCGGCTTTTCCTCCGGAAACGAGGCCTCATTGCAGCCACACACTCACTCTCACCCCGTGTGAATCAGGAAAGACACCCACCCCTGAGACGGAGGGGCCACTGAGCAGCAGCGCACGGCACCTGAGCTTTGGTAGCAACACAGCCTGAGTCTCCCTCCTCTGGGCATGGCGCCCAGCACCCCCTCGCTCTCCTGCTTCCCATGCCCCGTCTTGAGAAGGGCTGTGGCATAGACTCAGTGCGGCTCTCTTCAGCATCCCCCGCTCCCCCGGGCATTGCAGGCCTTGCCCAGTCCTTGCTTTCTCAGTTCAGATGCCTTATGGGAGTGCAGTGAATGAGATGGAAAGTGCTCTCACCAACTTGCTTTCTTTAAATTGTTGGTCAATTTAACAATAACATGTACTTGAGGCCTAACCAGTTTGGCTCAGTGGATAGAGCGTCGGCCTGCGGGCTGAAGGGGTCCCAGGTTCGATTCCAGGCAAGGGCATGTACCTTAGTTGCGGGCACATCCCAAATAGGTAGTGTGCAGGAGGCAGCTGATTGATATTTCTCTCTCATCAATGTTTCTCTCAATCTCTCTCTCTCTTCCTCTCTGTAAAAAACCAATAAAACATTAAAAAAAAAAAAATAACATGTACTTGAGCTGCATTTCACACCTGGTCATGCCATACCCCAGCAGGCTCAGACCAAGTGCACCCCAGGCCGAGCTCCCTCCATACTCGTCTCCCCAACTCTGGGGCCCCTGCCCCGCCCCCCCCCCCCCCCCCCCCCAACAAAAGATGTCTTTTAGGGATGTCAGCTGGAAAGCGAGGCAGATAAAGTGTTTGGCAAATCCCTGCAGCTGTGGCAGGAAAGTGAGCAGCAGTCCTTGGGGAAGCTCATCACAGCCAGATGGTGCCATCCTGCCAGGCGAGGAGGGCAGGAGGTGCCCTCTGGCAGACTGCCACCTAGGCTCCACTGGGAAGGCTTGCACACCAGGTACCGACCTGCTGAAAAGGAAGTTGTACTAAGAGGTCACTTGGCGTGACAGCTGGAGATGTGGGAAAGAGGCAAGACCATAAATCTCTGGAAAGATGCAACGTTTCCGATCTCAGACAGTCCCTGCAGATGTTCGTTTGATATTTTTTTCAGATTCTAAATATTTAGGAAGGAAGGTGGAATGTTTTGCTGAGTGGGGAGGTTAGGCCAGTCGTTTGCAAGCTGAGCTCTTCCTACTCAGCAGTAGGCACCCCGTGATGTATCTT